GCTAAGATATACAATATTTTTTAGTTTCTGATACCGGACCGGGTTAGAGCGGCGTAGCACCGTTCCCTTGCTTCTAGCGGCCTAAGAGACCATTTAAACAGGCCAGTCTCCATGACATTTGAGCACCTGCGATGCCTGGTTGCAAAACCGCGTCTCGACACGATGTTTGGCATATTTATACAGAAAAAAATCTGAACTGACTCAACGGTTAGATGCATTGGTTCGAAGTTCTGAATAGTATGTATCGTAGACCCACGGCGATTAACCATAATGGTGAAACGTACTTAATTTGTGTTATCATGTATTTAATACGAGATTTCTGAACATGACGCGTTCATTATTGTTCAAGTTATCGGCAAAGCTCCACAGTGCTTCTTTTCCGACGTAGTTAACGAGATCGTCTGTGAAACTTTGGGTGAGTCTGCTGACAGCCACGTTGGTGCGGCTGCTCTGCAGAAGGTACTTTAATGTCGGCACGATGTAAATCCTCGCCAAACGCTCTTTGGAACCGAAACATCGGTGGTAGATTTCTAGAAGGTTCGATTAGTTTTCGTTTTTCAATTTTCGGAAGGCAATGCTAAATCGATACCGGCGAGTCTTGGAAGAAGGTACGTCATTTGCAGCACGATTCCTTTCTTGACCACCGCACAGAACGGTTGAAACAACGCAATGTTGTCTAAAAGTGCAGTGTAGCGAATACTGGATTTCGCTGATCACCGGTTGTTTCGTACCCATGTTAATTATCATCGAATCCAGGCACCGCTGAGCCAACTCGTTCAACTGAGCAGTTTTGCTGGGCAGGTTCGCAGCGATGTTCTCGGTCATCATGTTGGCGATCGACCTCTGCGAAAGAGGCATGTGAGGAACCAGGTCCGGTAGGATCTCCAGTAACACGGCCATCGCGCTGGCGGCAACTTTGCTGTTGATGTCGTTCAGTCTGTTGGAAAACGCACCAAGCAACTAAAAGAAAATGACCGTGTTTCGTACAGTAGGACGACAAACGAATTCTGACGCACGGTTGCACTTTTACTGGTTAAAAGCAAGTTGACAGTATGCCTGTTTATGTCACGTGCCGGCATATTCCCACACCCAAAGTCAGGCGATAGTACTCTTGTACATTAGCAGCGAAATGGAACCTTCGCGTGAGAAAATGTTTTCCCCTGCCGCTAGGCCTAAGGCAGCAAGGTAGCAGTGTAGCTTTGTAGTACTGCCTCGTGCCATAACTGGAATTAATCAATTTCTACAGTGGCCCTGTCTAAATCAGATTTTTAATTTCAATTAAAAGCACGCAAAAATAGAGCATCACATGATCTCTATGTTCTGGGATGACTGCCACAAATAACAAAGTTTATATTTCATCGCAATTATATCATATAAATTCATAATACAGGATTTACTGGGTCTACAACACATAGAGGTACCGCTCAAACAGTTCATGGCTCTATCGTATTTCAGCATCTGCAGTGCAACGAACGTAGAACCACATCCCTGATTAGGAATGAACAAACACGTGCGCGAGCACCACCTAAATTTGTCACTATCCGCTTTGGCTGAAACTGGTACTCTTGTGCATCTAGAAACAAAGAGCTTGCGCTGAGTAGATCTGACGTTATGAACAGAAGTGGCATCTGTCACTCGTAACCTCAACCATTGTCAGCTTAAATACATGCCTTCTCTTGGGCAACCAGAAGCAAGGGACGGCGAAATGCGGGAAGAAATCTGGTTATGGAGGAATTTGTAGGATTTGTGATATTAGAACGTAGGTTGATGTGTTATATGTGATAGTCTATAAAAAGTGTCAGCTCCTGAAAAATTGCTATTAATGAACGCGAGGTGGTTCTAGCACTGCAGATGCTGAAATAGGTATGAGTCGCAGTTTGTTTATGAACCTCTAGAAAACGAGGAACAACGGGCGGTACAATACGCTGTGAAATCTGGTCTTCGAGAAGTTATGCTTTATTATGAACTGAGCTGATATATGGAATTATACTCAAAATATCTCAAGCCAGTATTACCTAGTTCATATATACATATTTACTGATGGTTCACATTCGCAATAGATCAAAAGAATGAAGGAACATTAAAGAATAAAATTTGGACTTCGCGCTCTGAGCAACCTGTCAGACAATGAAATGCTAATTTTAATTTTTAATGCGAGTTTCATATACAACACTCATTTGTAAACGGATGAACGAACGTATTGGCGGTGGTGGTCTATGGCACAGAAAGGGATCAAGGCCGCTGCATAAGCTTCACGAGGAGTGAGGGACATCTTAGGCATCGAGTCACTAAATAGCAGAAGGGAATTACAGCCCTATTGTTGTAAGCTTTCACTACTTTTATTCGATATCAAAATACACCATCCAAAGTTCAAAAAAATTTTAATTGTTTTTGAAACGGAACTGATTCGGCTTAAGCAAATAGCTTCCTTCCAAACCACATAGGGAGACCATGGAACATGCAAGCAAGCCAAGACTCCATGGTATTAGAGCAATTGTCATGCACTGGATGCAGGACTAGATTTCTGAGTTGGACAGAACAAGCGTGCGTTCGAGCAGCAACGAAATCTGCCAGTATTCGTAAGCAAATATCTGCACATAAACGAAGATAAAACACGATTTGAAGCCTGGAATATTGGAGGCGTCTAATCTTTTTTTATCTAATCTATTGTCTTAAGAGCCTGTATACATTTTTCTGAATATACATGCACCTTATATAATGTTTAGGTAAGTCACAAGCGGGAAGACAACGCATAAAATGTTCTTTAATTAAGGACATCTGACGTTTCAGACCAAACTCGGTCCGTCTTCTTTGTAATTAAGATTATATCACCTGCAGCATAAAGAAATCATGTATGATTTTCAATATACCTAATGTAACCCTAATGTTTAGCGCTGGCTACCATACTAGTAGCTTTCTAATCCCTCCGGCAATCTTAATACTATGGAGTGATATTTAAATGATCGTACAGAGAACTACAAGAAAGAGGGTGATCTGATTACCCTGAGTAAATTAGATGTTAGAAATTGAAAAGTTATGATTACTGGCTGAATCGAAAGTTTCGATGGGCTAGCTACCCTCAACATTGCAACCGTGTATTGAGTGTATATTTGCCTACGGCACTGATAGCAGCAAATTTAGCTGGTAATCGAACACGCGTCTGTTTTGCCCAACTCAGAGATGCAGTCTTTCATCCGATGCATTCCAGGCGCTCAAACACCGTGTGTTCTTGGCCTGCTTAAATGGACATTCTAGACGACTAGCAAGGGGCGGTTTGCTTAACTTGAGTGAATACAGTATCAGGAATTGAAATACTTTGAATTGGGATGGTGCATTTTAAGAAGGAACAAGGGGAAAAAAGTTCTCCCATACACTTGCATGACTTAGTACTTTTCATGGAGCTGATACGACTGGAGGCACCGATGTCCTTTTCTGAACCACTAACCATAGATACAGTCCTACTGCTATAACAGTTCTATAATGGCTATAAGTTTTGCCTAGGCAAAACCCGAATTAACGTCAACAGATAGCCTGCGGGAGGAATAAAATGTAGCGTC